TTTAGTACGCGAGTTGCATATTTGACCGGTTCTTAACTCAAAACCGGTTATTGTCGGTTATTTTCATAAGTCGGTTATTCAAAGAACCGAAAAAACTGAACCGTTATAACACGATTCGGTCATTTTTCAGTTCCTATGGATATTTATGCAATAACCAAACTGGTTATTTTAATTTGGTTCTAGTTCCAGTTTCGATTTTTGAAAAATATGCTAGGAACCATACCAGTCCCAGCCCTAGCTCAAATCAAAATTAGGCTCGTACATTAATTAAATAAAAATGAATTGCTCGCAAACGTTGGATATTGCTTGTAAACATTAATTTAATAAGTAATTTATTATATTTACCGTATCATATTTTTAACATAAAATTATAAAAGTACCATAACATATATTTCTTTTGTTTTGAATTTTATTTTTTAGTTTTCCGATTCAAATAATTATGAACAAACGAAAATTTAGTCAATCAGACATTTTAGTAAGCATTGAACAGGACAACAATTTCTCTCGGTTTACACAACACGCAATCCACTCCTTGTTCTATACACTCTGTTTTTGCAGTTTGAACGAGTTTTGACTTGAACGTCGGAGAGTTTTCTATCGGGATCCCCCTCCCAGTGTATTGCATGTAACCACGAGCTCAAGGCGTATCACTATGAAAGGCATTCGTGGATCCATCTCGTTAAGTGGTTGCATATGTTCTTTTTCAAGGCGACGACCCCTATCGCGGGTCAGGTCTAACTCGTCATCCAAAGGAAGATGTGTAGATGTCGAGAAGAAACTTCCCTTGCCTTGAAGACTATAGATCTCTTTAGACAGAATCACTAGGATACATTCGCGAACGACACGTTGATAATCGTGGTGCGTACCTTTCCCATCAAGGGTGGAGAATTCCAACATGTAATGATCGATGGAGGCAGTAGTCTTAAGACTGTATAATGCAGGTCAACCAATGATAACATTGTACTTAGTGATCTACTTAAATCTTAAAGGCCTCTAGGATAATTCTTGAGGACGAACCCTGGTTGTCAAATATAATCCACAAACTGATTGTGCCAATGGAAAGGACGATGTCTCCATCGAAGCCCTCTTGATCATTATGTCGGCGTACTTCGGCAAGATCGACGCCCATCTTAATAAGAGTTTCAATAAATATGCAGTTCCCAAGCACCAGTATCCACCATTATTCTATGGACCGGTCCATTGAATATGGTGGCAGTGATAACCAGTGCGTCTAAGTGAGGGTGACAAACTGGTACTACATCACACTCGGAGAATAAAATATTGTGTCGTTGCTCCCCGATGGCCTAGGTGATCAGTATCGCCATTGTAAGCCTGACGAGAAAATTATTTTATTTTATTTTATTTTTTTTTGCGGGCGTGACTCATTGAATTCTGGCCGATTAGTATAGATAAGTGGATTCAGTCGAGGGCTGCCTGACGCAAGTCGACCAGATTGGTTATGGGTATGTTGATCCCATTGCACTTATCAGGAGCATACGTAGTGACTTCAAAGGAAGAGTAGATCGCAGAAAATCCGATCTGGTGACAGACTTGATAAATGTCATTGTTGGACATGCTATTTTATTTTTCATTTTATGGTCAGGTCAATGGACACCTAACGATATTTTGGTGTCGATTGTGGAGTAACGACCTCTTTGTCTTGGGGAAGAAGGCCTAGGGGTGTGTTTTTTCCCTGATTAAAAGTATAAATCTCTCTTCGGGGGGGGGGGTTTCAAGTATGTTTCGATGAGGTTTGCATATCTTCATATGACAAGGGATCATCATCTCACCGCCTCTTATAATCGGTCTGGGGGCAAGCCAAACGATCTAAATGGGGGTTTTCGATCGCTCTCAAGAGGGCAGACATGATATTTTTACACTAATCGGTATTGTTCCCATGAAACTTATGATAAGCACAATACTTCGATTTGTCAAGGGCGGTATCCTCTCGGATGATCGATTGTCAATGTAGTAAGATTTTTTTGCTCTTGATTTTTTCATATATGGCGGTGGCTCATATGAAATAAACACTCTTGTAATTGGCCATTGCCTATTTTTGTCTTTCCCGGTGGCCTTGATGCAGTCACCCAGGACTTTGTCTTTGGGGTCCGATGGACTAGAACATCTTTGGATTTAGATAGAGCTATGTGTGGAACTCTAACTACTAGTAAAGACATTGATTCTTCAGCAATAATATGTTGTTGTGCACGTGATAAAAACTCCTATAAGGTAGTCGGCTTATTCAGATAAAAAGAGCACCTAAACATTGAGACCAATGAAGTCTCGAGATGATAAGACTATATTTTGAATTAGGGTATTGAAACAGGCAACATAATTTCTAAAACTTTCATGCTGTTGGACGATGTTTGTGATCGACTCTTTCAGGATCATACATATTTGCTATACAACAAAACTCATTGCAGAAAGTTGATCTCAACTGCTCCCAGTTATTGATTGACCTCGAGGGAAGTGAATGGTACCATCGTTGAGGCTTGGGCCCTAGAGTCCGGGAAAAAGTTCGGCATCGAAGGGCATCGCTTGCCCCATGGAGATCCATGCACGATGTATACTGTACAAGATTAGAATCATGATCAATATTGCCATGGTATAGACCGATTTGAGGAACTTTGATTGTGACAGGAAGCACCTCATTTAGAATATGGGGTAAGAGTAGTGAAGTAGGATCCATTGAAACACCATATGGGGATGAATGAGGATTGGTGGTCGCACGATTTGTCGTTTGCAAAGTTTGTTGGGTTTCAAGCTCGACAATTCTCTGCTTCAACAAAGCGATTTCCTCAACTTCTTTTTGTAGGATTCGTTTGGTGATTTGTTGTCGAGGTCTTCGTGTGTGTAGCTTAATCGGTTGAATATCGATCTGGCGTTTGAACTCATATTTGGCCCTGAGTGAGCCTGGCTCTCACCCCCTCTGCTTATCTTTACCCTCATTGCGTGGCTCATGGTTCTCATGAGAGTGGCCGTCTTGGGATAGTAAAACACGTGTTCGAAGAGGTTTTTGTGGAGCGAGATTTTGTTAAGGATTATACAAAGGATTAATATGAAGCATTTGGGAGAAAAGCTCATTGAGGTTTTGAAAAGTTTGTGTGACGTTGGGAGGAAGATGAGAGTTACCCTGGTTTTGTGTGCTACCGTGGTTTGAAGCGAACACATAAATTTTAAGTATGAGAAGATTCACCAAAACTTTTGATTTGGCTCCTCCTCTACCACTAAGGTTTTTACAACACTTAAGTACCAACGTACTGAAGTATATATAAATGGTGATTTGATGTAGAATACAAGACTAACATAAGTAATTTGAGGGATCGTCAATAACTGGATGAGATCGGCACACAGTAACTGATGAAGGGAAGTATATGTGTTTGAACATTTGTTTGGAAGAAGATATTATATATATATATATATATATATATATGTATATATTTATTTATCGTTCTTGAAGTATTTTATGCCTTATTTATATATGAATAAGGTGGGAAACTAGTAATGATCGTGGGCAGTCTAGGGAACCAGACGAATGACGCGTGTTGTCATGCAAAAATTGGACTTTTAATGACAAGACTCACATTCCGACTTTGATGATGGAACCAGTTGAACGGTCGTTTTTCTTGTTTCTGCTCATACTCTGAGAGACAAATCAACAAAAGATGCGCTAATAAGCAAATCGCCTTATAGTTGAAGGGGGATCGGCGCAATATTGGTCAAGGAACAGTACTCGGAAATCCTGAAAGCCCAGCAAAACTATATGACAACTTTTTTTATAGCATTGCATGAAAATATTTGAATTACATGGATGGAACAAGATACATGTAAGTCTTGGATTTCTAAGAGCATCTCCAGCGGTATGTTAATTGTGGGATTGTAGAAGCAATGTGATAAAATAACTTCTCCAGCGGTATTTTTTTTCTACTTCTATTTATGCTGATGTGGCATGAGAGAGAGAGAATTATTCTAGAAGTCCTTCTACATGTAGAAGTCCTTCTAGATGTGTTTTTTTTATTATTATTATCCTTATAGACTAACTAAACTTGAAGAAAAAAAAAAATAATTTATAATCTAAATCTTTGATTAAATTATAGTTTGTTGGTATTTATTTGTCCACACTTTATCAAAACAAATTAATTCACAAAAAAAAAATAAAATAAAAAAATTAAAAGACTTCTCAAATCATATTATAAATTTAATTATAATTATTTATTAAAATACATGATAAAAGGATATTTTAAAAAAAAATATCGATACACAAATACCTATAATAAATTTAATGGTATATATTTTGTTAAAATTATGCATTAAAATACATAATAAATACTGTCATTATATAATACAATATGAAGCTACTATAATAATAATTTATATTTTGTCACTCTTAATAAATTTTTTGTGCAATATATATCGATACAATATGAAGCTCAGTATAATAATAATTTTTGTTTTGTCACTCTTCAACTGTGAATAAAAATTTTGTGTTGCATTTTTTTTTTCTTTGAACAAAAAAGAAAAAAATTGTATAAACATTTAATGTGTGTAGACCATTAGAGAGTTATTTATAAACCTGTTATTCTATTGTGAAGAGAAGTCATCTATTATAGACCACAATTAACTTTCATCATTAGAGATGCTCTAATTTATTTAGTACCAATTTTATAAGGTTGCTTAACCTAATACGCTTTATAATTGGCCGCGATGTCTCAGTTGAAAGAAGATGGATAAAGTCGTTTGCCAAGAATGAACAATACCACGCTTTCTGCGCACAATACCTCCACCTCCCCGCGCACATTAGCCCGTAGCCATCTCCAATTAAACCCGAAACCAAATAAAATCACACACATCGCTCCTCCTCTTCCCGGCGATTTTCCCATAACCAAATCAACAACACAGGGAACCCAAACCCTCCTCCTCCTCTCTCTCTCTCTCTCTCTCTCTCTCTCTCCAGATTTTTCTCTCTCCGAACACCCATTTTGCGCATGAAAAGGTAAGTTATGGCGATGGGGACAGGGAGATCGTCCAAGGCGCTTCACAATTTTACGATGCCCTTCGAGCTCCGGTGGGGGAACCAAAAACAGATGCGCTGCACCAAGGTCAACTCCGGCGGCCACAACCACCCTCCCCGTCGATTTGCGCCGCTCGATTCGCATCGCCGCCGCCGCCGCGAGGATTCCGTGCAACACCCCCGCTTCGGCTCGGAGGAGGAAAGGGGAAGAAAGAGTGGCTCGCCGTTCGATTTTGCGCGTGGATCTTACAAATCGAGTCGCTCTCCGCCGCCCCTGGCGCCGGGTGGCGGCAGGGGATTCAGCGACTGCGGTGACGATGGGATCTCAGCCGTGAGGGAGAAACTGATGTTCGATCTCCAGACCGCCGCGGAGAGGATGAAGGACGCGGTTTTCAGGGATGGTTTTGTGAAAGGCGAAGCCTCCTCCTCTCCGCCTCCGCTGCCGCTGCCGCCGCCGCTTCCGGCGACCCCAATGGAAGGTGAGACTCACAGGCCGTGGAATCTGAGAACGAGGCGAGCCGCTTGTAAAACGCCGTTGACCACGTCCGACGCATC